AAATACAACCTATACTTAGTCACGTAGGCACAAATTGAGCTCTCGAGCCATAGGAAGATTGTACATACATTATACGTACAATGCACCGTTCAAAAGCGTAGTATAATAACCTTTTCAGTTCTTCTTAACATCCGTAAGTCCATTGAATTATTGACCTTCCCTTACTTCTCGCCTAACGACTCGTTCAACGCGTACGAAACGTTCCGAATAAAATAATACACCAATCATTTCCAACCAATTTAGACTCGTCCTTGGCGTCGTTACGTTTTTACGTTTACGTTAAAACACTTTTTCGAATTGTCTAAATAGATCTATTATCTTATCTATAGTTTCTGCAATAATATATTGTTCGAATACGCTTTGATAACCGGTGCACCTTTGACAATACTATAAAAGCTCTTTGAAGCTTCCATCGTGAACTCTAACATTGTGCCAAGACTCCCGGGCTTTGAAACAAAATCTTTACCGAATTCTATTTTCAGTTTTCAATATCGGTTTTACTTTGATTCTCGTGTTAGCGAGAATCCATATGCGACAGTTTGGAGCGGTTATTTTCAGGGCCCTTTTAATTCGCTGTCAGGAGGTTTTGTTATTCTCGTTAATTGTGGCACGGTTCGTAAGAAATGTGCCGTTTTCTTTCGTATAAGGTCCGAACGGGCGTTCGCGAGCGATTCAGAGCGTGATCGAGGCTTGATTCACCGTTTGCGAATCGTACCGGCCTTCCGGTGCAATCTCTATCAGCCTCCAGTAAATTCGAGCTTCCTCGTTCTCATCGGCAGAGACGAGCGTGGCGTTCGCGTCCCGGCTGGATGCATCACGCACTTACACGTGTACTTAGAGTGGATTTCACGAGGTACACGCGGGAACACGTCGATACGACTCAAGTCGGACGCGCGGTTAGTCGCGCGATTTCGACGGACACCATTCGCCGGTTTCAGGTGGCGAGAGCAGCAAAACGTCACGCGATTGGTTCAGACCATCTCAGCTGAGCATAGTACGACCGCCGGCGCAACGTGTCTGATTTTAGACGTCCTTCTATCCAAAGGCGCCGTCTTTTATTACCGAAACCAGCGGCATTACAACGGCCACGGCGCATACGCGAACTATTTCGATTCGTTTTCTAGCCTCCATTTTACGCATGGCGTTGTTTCGATTCAAACGCGATTACGATGCTATTTTACTCCTATTTTCTACGTTATCGTTGACCTTAGCCGTTAGGTCAGCAACGTCGAGTTTTTTAAGCAGACAATGGTTTACTGGTTTTTCCATCGAAGGCATCGCTTCTAGATCACGTAACCATAGTTTCTCGTTACTTCCGGTATTTAGTTTTTTTGAGAATACATCGGAGAATACATTGGAAGTTGTTGGACTTAAAGAACGTTCTAGATCTAACCTTCGGAAATGTTATTGTACAATTTATTAGAATAAATTTAATACTATTTTTCAAAATGGAGAAACTATGCCTTCGTCGCTCTGCAGCCTCTTGACCTCGAATACGAAAAACTTTCGTGCTTTTTATAATTAATTTAAATTAATTAATTTTCTTAAAATTAATTTTATATTTCGACAGTTTATCTCAGAATCGAGAATGGTAGTTTCGACCACGAGTTTGTGAAAATTCGCCTGTGTGCATCGGACTTGTTTTAACGATGCAAGACCCGTTACGCACTGTAGACAAAGTCGTCAGCGACCTCTTGGTGCAAGAAAATGTGGGCTCTTGCACGCGTGGTTACCAACACACAGTAGGTTCGAACCCTGAAAAATCGGGCAAAATTCAACTTTGTTTTACTGACATAAACAGTTTGCACGGATAATAGTATTCAATTTGATACGAGCCATTCCGATAACGGAAACAATCATCCCGAAAGAAATTGTCATACATGAAAAGATTAACCCAGACCGCGGGTTAATCACTCTGTCGAATCAAAATTTGTTGCCTGCTTGGAATTTCAAATTTTGACGTTGCGTCGCGATACACCGCAGATAAAAAGTCGCAGCTCGTAAGAATTCCGCGCGTTTCCCTCCTTAATCGAGACGACCGATAAATCGAACGGTCAAGTTCAGCGAATGATCACTCGGAGACCGAAGTCGTTAACCGCGTTGCCTTGACATTGATATCAGCCGCGAGAGACAGTAAATTTTCCGATCGTACCTTCAGCATCGCGAATCCTCGATCGATCGAGAGACAGAACTGCATCTCGATTATCGAATAATCGATGTACACACACTCGAGAAATATTCTTGGCACGAGCCAAAGTGTTCTTCACTCAACAGGCGGTCATGAGATTATTAACTAGGGTTCCATGGTCCTCTGTGGCTTCCTTAATTAATTAACACACTGACCGCCATGTTACCCATATATGGTGACTTTACCAAGGACCGAAAATATGAATAAAATTAATCTAGATAGAATTTATGAATACATTGTTGGTCTTATATAAAGTTCAGTCCATTCGATTGAATTAGTAAGATGAAAGAATAATTAAATATCGCTCGTTATCGCAGGATACACGCACCACGTGCCATAATTTCCCATATCGCCTTGCCCTTGCCGATACTGATAAACGAAATCGAATCGAAATTGTACAGGGCGTTTCGTATCATATGGGACCCACTTCAGTGATGGGTTTTAGTCACGAAAACAATAACAAAAGACCTCCTTTTATTTGTACTATTTTACAAGAGCACACGCGATAAAATATAATGTCGAGAAATACGTACAGTTTGAAAGTTGCACCGTTCTGTTTACTGCAAATATTTTGGGTGTAAGGAGCGTACTTAAAATATCTTTGGCATTGGAAACGTTAACCAAGACTTTTGCAATGGTCAACTCGTTCCAATTATTTGATCATCCATCAAGATCTCAGGAATAATTTGTGTCGAAATGTTACCAAGGTCCAAGTACTCCATTAAAGCGAGACGTACTCTTAAAACGTATTTTGTATTTCTCAGTGACTAAGAGACAGAAGAGTTTTGTTTAGACACCACCAATAGTTTTTTTACACCTGAGAAATTCGGTTAATTTTACAACAGCGTATAAGAGATGAGTTAAAACTGATTTACGGTGAAACGCTCGAGAGTTGAGGTCCATAGTCTGAATGCCCACAGACGGTAATATGAATCGTTGAATATATTTTCTGACGACAAACTACCAGGTTTGTTGAGTTACCGAATAATAGATTATTATTGACTACAAAAATCGTAGCAATTGCGTCAAAACAGTTTTTTCGTTCCTAATAAAAATTGACGTAATAAATATCCGATCGAATCATTTTTTATTACGGATTGTACGTGTTTACATCTGTAGCTACTGACGTTTGTTCGTTTTACATGACAAGTTTTTTGCTCGACGATCGAAAGAAATGGCTCATTAAAAACGACAATTCTTAATCATAGCGATTACGATTAAAAGTTCTCGACTCGATTGTATTATTTTATACTGTACTTAGTGGGCCATTCTTTACAATTGTACAGATAAATTGTATAAAATCGGTAACTGAGTACGTAACGTTTTAATTCGATGGTACTTTAGCGTACGTTCTGTGCTGATATCGAAGAGTTGTATCGATACGATATTTGATTATGTTGGGATATGAACGTTTTAAAATCATAATATTCCAGAGGAATCGAAACTAATGCAAAATATATTACTCCTTTGCATTTCATGGCGGGGAATTAAAATAGAACGCACGAGTTAAACTCACACAGTATGTGCTTCTGATAACACATTGGTTGATTTGCTGAATCTCGATTATCTGGTTAAGTCTAGGTCGAATAATCGAGATTAGATAGCATTATTATTATAGAGGAAGCACGGCGAAACAACGCAGTATATAAAAGGTTTAGATGTTTAATATATTTCCTACGTGGATTTACAATGAATTAACAAATGTCACGATGTAAATGCAAGGTTGGGTAGCTGGACAAATTTCCAAACAATGATGGTCATATTTTTCAAAGGTCAACTTTCTTGAGACCTCTATTATACGCCTTACTATCAACCGACTTCTCTCGAATGCATTCGACCATTAGAAACGTTGGAATCTAAACTAGAAAATATAATTTGAACTAATAGGTCACCAACTTTATTCAAACTTTTTCTCGAGATTCAGGATGAAAAACAAGCAGACACGTGTCGTAATCTTTTTATCGATGTTCATTATTTATAATGATATATAACGTTTGACGTTTCGCTGTACTCTGGTTAAATATTCGGTAATATTTAAGTAGAGAGGATGGTCAAAGTATCATTTGTTAAAGTCCCACGATTCTGCCGGTTCGAGTCGCTATAAAATTAGGAGCAAAGCGAACGCGAAAGCGATCGAGTTTATAGAGAGTTTTATGGACTCGTTGGTCGTGAAACTCCATGGAAAATTCGAGCAAAATCGCGAAATTCGGAGTGAGAAACGTCGTCTGCGGGTCCTGTTGGTCGACGGCGTCCCGGCGCCACACGAGCCTGCGCCGGGACGACGTCCACGCGATCCATCCGGCAGTCGATAGACGACCTCGTCCGAGCTTCGACGAGCTCAAAAGCCCCCACGGGTTTTCTCTGTGTTCCGATAACAAGCCTGCCTCCTCCAAAATTCTTGATATTGCTGGAGCGGTAGGAACAGGGATTACAGGTGTCGCCTCGCGGAAATCCGGTTAGCGCGACGCGTTAGGCGAACGAGCAACAAACAGTGTCGTTCATCGAAGGCTGTTTTCTAGAAGAATCGTCGACGTCCTAAGATGTAGCCCGTACAAGTTGAACGTCGGCTACGATTTATCGATAGATGGTCCTCTTGGCGAATCGCTTTGTCGTTGGACAGGACGATGGAAGCCACGAGTGCTCGGGAATTTACGAGTCTAGTCAGGGACGCTGTTTTTACCGCTTGTATCGATTTCGTCGGGATGTCCTGTTTTGCCGGTACGCAGGGGAGGTTAGCTGATTTCGTGTCGACAAACGTTTCGCGACGTTTGCATAGGACAGGAGGTGCTCGGATGATGACCTGAAATGTAGGTGAGCCTGCCAACCGATGGACAGGTACGAATTTCATTTTTCTTCATTAACGGAATCTCTTCCCTCGTTGTTCGATTTCCATTTATTACGCGTTGCGTTTCGGTGCGTGCGTGCGGAAATGCTCGTTGCATCTGTTGCATTCGGTTAATTCGAAGGGTACTTGAATTTTCACGCGAATCGAGGTCAAAATTAATAGTACAGGGTTCACAATTACCTGGTTTCTCGATTGATTTCAATGTATTCCACTCTCGTGTAACAGTTTGCAAATAAACATTAATCAGAAAATAACAAATCCACTTTATGTAATCTAGTAGGAACTGACGTGTTCTGAGAAAGGCTACGCTTTAAATATTGAAACACTAACGAGAAATTAATTATACTATAGAACGCGTTAATGTCACGCAAAACACGAAATAGAAATTATTATGTTTATATCGTATCGAAGATTTCGATGGCAGTCGTTTGTCGGAATATTTACCTAATTTGGTCAACCACGGTATTTACGACAATAAATTAATGAATAATACACTTCCGATCAATTTGTCGCGAGTATTGATCCTCTGTTGCATCACAATCGTCCGTTGTTTTTAAGCAACGCGACGCATATCTTATTTTAGATAAACGTTGAATAATTGGGGTCGCGTAAAACTAACTTTCGTGGCACGCAAATTCATAATATATAATCGCTATCGTTGCGTAATTTATTCTAGGTCAAATCAACGATTATCTGTGTGTCGGGGACTTTTACGAATTAGCACATAAATTCCGATAACGAAAGTAGTAAAAATACGATTGCAAAATCGAGGTATTCTATAAAACTAACAAACTAAATCCGATCTTGATACAATAACTATGTAAAATGTGATTTCAGTAGCATATTTATTACGCTCCATCCTGTATAATAATGCAAGAGTTTTCGTGCAGACTTGATGTTTGCGTGGTTTATACTTACCTTGGATTGACGTTGCATGTCGCGACCACCAAGCTATGTCATCGATGAAAATCGAAAAGCAGAGAGATGCGAAAATGCTAAGGAAAATGATAAAGTAGAAACGTCAGTGTTCGTATAATGTGATTGACGAAATGACCGAATGACAACGAAGAACATTAAGATTCGTTCGCATGAATTATCGCCCCGACACGATTATGATACTTTATTTGTATCGATTTACGTGCATTTACATCCATCGGTCGCACGAATGGTCATGAGTGCGCGTTTTCATAATGTTTCCTTAAGAATATTTTCCCCGAACATCGTTGGACAAAAAATAATGTCTTTGAAATGTTCTCCACTTTTCGATGTATTACGGATAAACAAGCGCCCTGGTTTTTTAAATTTTAGCGAACCGTTCGAGCTAATAGACTCAATAGGGTGGGAAATAAATTATTTAGAAACTTAAAATACCAATTGGAAGATGAAACGAATAATTACACGAATTTTTAATTTGCCAATTTATGTTAGATCTCCCTTCGGAACGTGTTGGAATGCATGTAGGTTCTGGTTCTGACGTCGATCGTTGTATTTCCTAGGATATTTTTGATGTCTCGCGCGGCAAACATTTCAATCGCGACGGATTGAAAAATCAGGGCAATGATTATCGATCGTCCTTACGTCATAGTCGTCAGACCGGTATTTATTCGTTTCACGAAATGCGATTTAATTCATTCGACCGCGTTTAACCCGGGCCCAACCTGTCCGTGTTAAACAGATACGAGTGACTCCGGGAAGCAATCGAATATCGGTCAATTCCGGAACGTTGAACGCCGATAACGCCGCATTCTTCGTGAAATACGATTTTTGTACAAACAAAAATCTGAGATGAAACGTATCGCTACATATTAAAAATTTAATTTGGTGTATTTAATTTAAATAATTTCCTAAACTTTTAAACAGATAGAACTTCGTTAGACACTCGAGTCCGTGCATATTTTCACGGATAAACGGACTGAAATATTTGATAAACACATTACGCAACATGGTCATTACGCATTCCCATAGAGCAATGTATAAACAAGATTTTGTTAACGTATTACAAAATATTTGAGTGGGAAGAAAAGTGTTTTATTTATATTCAAATGGTCTCATTTATAATTCATGTTGAATATTGATGACGAAATACATGGCTACCGAAAAAATGCATATTTCATCGTAGCTCTTTGACAGTGTTATTCTTCCCGTACGAGTCGTACCATCTTCAAAGATAAAACCGTTGGACCATTGCGTAAGAAATCTTCAACATTCGTCTAACAGTGCACGTCTTATGTATGTTCGCAGAAACAAAGAAAGAATGGCACCAAACGTGACGAGTGCCCCGACGGGAGTACTGTTCGAAGGAGAGTCGCTCGACCAAACCACTACTACCGAACCTTCCAAAGAGAAGTACCAGAGACACATCGTTTGGAGAAACGTCCTAGTCTTCGGTTACCTTCATCTGGCAGCGGTTTACGGACTGTTCCTCGTCTTCACGTCCGCCAAATTGCTGACAAGCCTCTTCGGTGAGCGAAACAAACAACTTCCGTCGAACGGTTAAAACGGTTCGAGGCAAAATAAAAAGCAAGATCCAGGCTTCACGACTCCGTCGTGTTTAGTTTCCCCGATGCAAAATCTAGGAACGTTTCGACGCCTGACGAGTAGTATGGATCGATCTTTCATTGTTCTAGGAAACTGACGAATAACAGTTTCGAATAACGGAACATAGGAGATCGCATACCCGTTGATGCGCGCGGAGTTTGGTAGTCGATTATCCGGTTTCGCTGACCGCATTTGTTTCCGTTCCTCGATCGAGTCGGAACGTTCGAAATGTAATTGCACGCGTAATTTATCAACCGTGCCTTGCAAAGTGTTTGTTAGGTTTTAGTGAAATAGACCCTTTGTACTCGTAGACAAAAAAACTTTCTTCCAACGTGTACGCTCTGTTTAACGGTTTGTGATGATTTTGTTTGTTCACAGCGTTTGCCCTGTACTTATGTGGCGGTTTGGGAATCACAGCCGGTGCTCACAGATTATGGTCGCACAAATCGTACAAAGCGAAATGGCCGCTCCAGGTCCTGCTAATAATTTTCAACACCATAGCATTCCAAGTAAGTAGACGAATTCGTTCGTGGGGTTCTTCGAGTGGACCGTACGACGATCCTGTTAGCCAATAAAAAAGAAACAGAAATTCGCAGAACATTGCAGTCGAGATAGAGCGAGCAACCTTTGAGCCGTAGTATCGATTTGACCAGCAAAGTAAACGGAATATCACGAGACAGTTGCTGTTCCTTTCGTGTTAGTCGCTTTCGCAATTATCGCGTCTAGTGAAATTTAGAGGCAATCGTTCTTTTTGCTCGCCGCCGCTAACTAGAGATTACACAGAGATTTTGTTTTGAAAACTCAGGCAGAAGCACATAAATACTATCCACGAATATGATACGAATAGATTCGATAATGGGTGTTTCGTTAATCGAGGTGCTATCGCATTATAGAGTTACACGCGTTGATAACGTATCTCTTAACGCGTGTACATTTATGTACAACCGAATACTCGAACGTTTATGCTTCATGCAAATAATTTATAATGCATACGTGACTTGCCAGTCTGCAGGTAAAAATGACAAGCAGTCTGGTTTCATTTAAATTTGTTATTGTCAAATATTTCAATCCTACTGTCGTTCAATTTATCGGCAAGTTCTGTAAGGTATTTGTTTTTTATTGTTTCCCAGCACTCGCATTAGCCTAACATAATTGTGGGTCATTTACGTTGCTAATTTCGCCGTTTAGAAATTCAAGAATACTTTTATCCATAATATTTTACTTGGAACGAGCTGGATTTTTTAGCAATTTTCCATTTGCATTCAGCTTGTTCACGAGTTCATTTTAGTTCATTTATAAGGTTTCGATCTATGTTGCGCAACTCTTCCGACCCGTGCGTGTCCTGCGCCAGTACCGCAATAATAAAAATCAATATTTGATTATACACAAGTCATTTGTTCATAGTAGAGTCCGTACTTCCCATCCCTCCCTTTTTTACAATTGTAATTTTCAAAGCCATTAGTCGAATGAATGATCATTGTACTTGTTATTTTATATTCGGATATTTCCTACAATGGCAAAAAGAAATTATGGATATGTTACTGCCGTTTAGATACAAACGAATTCACATCTACGTTTACTCAACACTATTTTGCTTAGTTTGACGAGCGCCCAAAGTTTAAATTATCGATATTAGCATACACGGTATTATAAACAGACTGCGGATGTTTATGCAAAGATCATTTGACGTAAAATATGCTAAATACATAGTAGTATAGAACATTACTCAAACTACTATTACACTTTTTTCAAAATAAACAACTTCTTTTTACTCTATTGTGTATTCACCAAAAAAGTATAATTGCTGGATTTTCCAGGCTAGTCTTCTTTCTTGTATTCAAATGATAAATTATACAACGATCGATCGAATCTTTCGAACAGGTTTATTTTACTTTGTAACTTCGTCCTCCCATAGGATGCTGCACTCGATTGGGCCAGAGATCACAGACTTCACCATAAGTACAGCGAGACGAACGCCGATCCCCATAACGCGAAAAGAGGATTCTTCTTCGCGCACGTGGGCTGGCTCCTGTGCAAAAAGCATCCGGACATCAAGGAAAAGGGAAAAGGAATCGATCTGAGCGATTTGAAAAGCAACCCCGTACTTAGGTTTCAGAAGAGGTGCGTTCCCTTCCGAGTCGAACACGCAAATATTTATTTTAATATGTTATTTATGTACGCATTTTCCAATTCCTTTACAGATATTACAAAATTTTAATGCCCCTGATGTGCTTCGTGATGCCGACTATCGTACCAGTTTACTGTTGGAACGAAACGTGGTCGAACGCGTACTTCGTCTCCACGATTATGCGTTACGTTTTCACCCTGAATGTCACGTGGCTGGTCAACTCCGCGGCTCATTTGTTTGGGAACAAACCGTACGACAGGTCGGTATTCGCATTTTATAATTCGTTCAAGGATCCCTACATTTGCATTAATCTTTCGTTTCAATGTATTGTATAGGGTTATCCAAATTGAGTGCCGCATCTTTAAATTGAAATAAAATACAAACTGTTTGAGATATGTCAGGTTTCTTTATTTTAATATAAAGTCCACTTCGAAACATTAATCGTGGAACACAATATCATTCAAATGACCGACTAGGTTTTTTTTTCATGAGCTTGACTCATTTTGCCCAATTGTCTATTACACTATTACATAATTGGGGTTCTATTTCATTAATGGCGGCTATAATATTGTTTTTTAGCTCCACGTTGATACATATCACGTGTTACATTACAAACTGAGCAGTCTCTTTGAATTTATTCACAATTCGACGAATTGTTTTGTCAGAAGGTTGCTTATTTGGGCCAAGAATTTCGCGAAGTGCACGAAAACAAACTCGAACAGAAATTGAACGTTTCTAATAATTCTCAACAATTTGTACACGTTGTTGCACAGTGTAGCGTTCCATCATGATTTGTTTATGCTTAGTGATGGCGTGTGTGAAATATAACAAAGAACAATCAAACCGTTTAGTAGTCCCATCTGTTGAAAGATGTGACACTCAATTTGGATAACCCTATAGTTAAGTTGTTGTATGCCATCATTAGAAACTTTCAAGTCCTAGCAGAAGTACTCATCTAAGATCCAAACTTCTCTGATAGTATCGTTAAGAGATTAATTTTGCAAACTACAGAACTCTCGTAACTTCAATTATTTTCATCTCGGAAATTGAACGCGTCGAAGCGCAGGTTAGGAGTTAGGATCGGTATCCGCTTAAAGAATTCAACGATTCAGCATTGTTTCCTTCTTGTGACGAATGGCAGGAGCGGAGAAGGACTGGAGATTTTTATTAATTGCAGATTTATCAATCCCTCGGAGAACAAGGGGGTAGCTTTTACTGCGTTCGGTGAGGGTTGGCACAACTATCACCACGTGTTCCCATGGGACTACAAAACGTCCGAGTTGGGTGGCTACAAATATAACATAACGACAGCTTTCATTGATTTCGCCGCGAAGCTCGGTTTAGCGTACGATCTGAAAATGATTCCCAAGGATATGGTGCAGAAACGAGTGGAGCGGACCGGGGACGGTACACACGAACTGTGGGGTTGGGGCGACAAGGATCAGTCGCAGGAAGACAGGGACCAGACGTTGGTGATAAACAGTCAGAAAAAGGATTACTAGAGGTGATCCTCGTTACTGACCGATCATTCGTTCTCGCATTCCAAGAACGACGATCAAATTCTTTGTACAGTTCTCAGGACGGAACCGGGTTGAACTATCCGAGAACCAATCGGGATATTTGGGAAATATCACTTAATATTTTTAGTCCCGCGGTTGTGCACAAATCAGCTAGGTCCGATTTTCTACGAGATCAATTTACCGCGCTCTTTCTAATAGAGTGTGATGTGATACATTTTATCTTTCTGTCGGAACGGTCTGAATCGAAATAAAATCGACGGCAGCTAAGGTTCATGAACTTCATGCAGTTTGTTCCTTAATAAGTTACGAAATATATATGATTGTCGGATCCATGTAATTCCTTCCACTTTTAACATTCAGAAAGAGCAAAAAAACAAGAAAAAAACCGTTTCGTTCCTACGAATCTGTGTTAATAGTTGTGGTCTACGGTGTGATCGTATCGTACCGTGGTCGCGCGTGTGTACAGCACTGTGAAGAACAGTTTCAACGATGAAACGCTCTTTTAAACAAATAAAGAACTAACTGTTCTGAAAGTCGAATGTAGCTGATGTTCTGCGATTAACGCGACTGATTTGATGGGTCATTTGGCAGGTTCTAAATGTGTCTCAGAGATACTGCGGCAGGAGGGGAGGGAGTCAGAGTACATCTTGACCAAAACGTTCCTCGCTTGCTCGATTTGTGTCTTTTTTTCTACAGTACAATGGCAAACTCGCGTTCGACGACCGTTTCTGAATGATTTCGATCGCCAAAGCGTAGATGGCTCGCTCCGTAGGGTGAAAAATTCGATCGGACACAATCGCGAGCCATCCTCTCTTTGGTTGATTGATCAGCGCGCGAACACCGTCATAAGTAGACTTTATTTAACGTTGCAAAAGCAGACTACGAAGGGACGAAACACGGAGCGACAAGTGCTGACGGTCTAGCGCTGTATTTAACTTGAAAATTTCACTCGATCGGTTCGAGTTGTACGATCGCTGATACCCTTGGACGCTACGGACGTATCTGTTTGAAACCGAACGTCTCGTAGCATCAAAAGGGCCAAGGATCGTACAACGTTGTAGTTAAACTACTTTGAGAAATAATTAAGTTCAGAAATCTTATCGAAGACCGAAATGTTTCGTATACGTCAACGAGTTCAGGTTTCTTTCGTTTCCTCTCAGTTTTCTTATCTTCTTCTTTGTTTTCTCTTTCTAATTGCACTTCCTATCATCCAGAACATTGTTTGAATTCCCCCCATAAGAAAGAAACTTGGCTTCGAAACACGCATTTTAGTTCTCTCCCTCTCGTCCGAGCATTTAGTCGCAACATTTCTTGTAGGGGATAAATATAAATGTGTCTAATAAAAGCGAATTATTATTATTATTATTATTATTATTAATATTATTATTATTATTCTTAATGTTATTATTCATCGAGATCAGGACTTCCCTGAACGTCCCTTCCTCTTTCTTGTATTTCGGGTTCACGAAAAACTTATCGATCAATCGATTCTCGATACTAACGAATGTAAGTTCAGCGACCAAAAGTTTTTCGTTACTTCTTAATTATGAATATATATTTATTGAAACGTGAACACTATTTATGCGATGCTTCTATGAACTCTCTAACAAGATATTAAATTGTTATTATTACTTTGGGGCTTGAAAGACGTTTTCTTTAAGACACGAGATGAAAAGTTAAACAATTTCTTGCTTACTTAAGGAATTATAGTTTGAACATGTGTGTATTAATCGTCTATATTTAAAAAAAAGAAAATGAAATAAAAATTATTCTTCGGATTGAAGCATCTTTCATATTAAATACGAATACGATTATCGTTGTTCGAGGTACTAATGTACGCCAGGAGAAATTTTTAGACTCGTAGAAATAGGTTTCAGTCGCAACGAGCTTACGAGAAGCTTATCAAGTACCTAACGCAGACAATGAAGCGATGTATCACGCTTTCTAGAGTTATACACGATAATAAACACGTCTCTAATTTATTCTTCTAGGCTGTTGGATGTTCGAAACGAAATAGTGTGATTGCAAATTGGTTGAGAGCCAACGGGACGAAACTATTGTTACTTTTAGGTGTATATCATGCGCAAATGCGATTTACAATATGTATTTGTACAAATTCTTTTGCAAGATAACTCATTGCAAACCAAAAAAGGAGAAAAAAATGAAACAGAACTGAAATAAGAAAAAAAAGTATATACATTTACTGCGGATTCAATCGAAACGCCCACGATTCTCACAAGATCCTAATTAAACCTGTTACATGTATAGCCGAATCGACTAATCTCTTTGATCGTTTCGTTAGCAATGGCGGCTCAAAAATTTACTGTCTATAAGAATAATCTCCGTACCATTAAGCAGTCACCTTCCTTCACCACTGGAATTTTATTCGAGACGATAGAAGGACACGAGGAGACGAATATCTTCGGTGGTTTTATTTAAAAAAATAAAAAATAAACGATACAAAGACGTTAACAAATTTCCACCTTGCCTAACTTTTGTCTCGAAAATTCGATTTCAGAGAGTTTAGCGATCAAGACCAACGCACGATGATAACCAGGCGGTGTTTAAAGGCCCGAGAGAATCAGTGTCACCGTAACTAATGTAATTTTAATAATATCCCTCGTTTCCTGCATCCGTGTCATTTTCTATGGACGTAGGCGAATAAAAGTAAATCAATGTGTCTGCAACGTAAGTCGTATCGAGACTCGGAAGAACCCTCACGAATAGTTGTAAGGTTTAATCTTACAGTTAAGTAAAAAAAAAAAACGTGTGCCCTTACCGGAATAAAGGAACAAATATATTGTGTTTTGTTACAAGACTTAGACCACAGCGATGAATTTCGCATCCAGTCGCGCACGGCTAGAGTTTAAGATCAACCAAACTATTTTTGGAGTGTGATATTTTTGTTTTATTTTCCTTTCCTGTACGATTTAATGGAAGATGTTACCCAGACGCACGTCATTTGTTCTTTTATCGATATATTTGATTTCAATAGAGGTGCATCGCGCGGATTGTAACGTACCCCATTCGTTCTTCCGTGTTCTCCTTCGTATCAGTATATGTATAATGATTATAATTGTAATAACAGAAAATATCTTTGTAATAAAAAGTTTATAGGATAATCAATTCCTCTGTTGATGTTGTCGAGGTACTTTAACAATACCATCGTTTCCTTGTACATAGGTTTTTCCTTGAAAAGTTCAGTTTTCATTCTGGCTTTTATGTGGCTCTTTTCACACAGAAATCTTGTCAAAGTTAACAGTTAAGACTATCGCCTCATCTACAGAACTTTTTCGATTGATCCTACTTCCTGGTCATTCCTGGATCTTCACTGGCCTTGCTGACCTTAATGTCAACCTCATTGTTGACCATCGATGACCATGAGGTAACCATTGCTGACCATAGAATACCCAATAACCCATTAAAACTCTCCCTTACAATTCGATGCGTGACCTTTTTAACATTTTATTCCACTTTAAAGGAGTGTATCTTACAAGTAGACTGCGGATCTTCATGCAAATTCATATTTTTGTTAATAAAATTATTGAAATTGGAGCTTTGCAGAGGGTTGTCTCAACCCCTAGATACAATAATTCGTACCTTACTTTAAGTATTTCTTATATTTTTGCATATTTAATGCATTCTGTAGTTATTTGAGGATTAAAATTTCCCATAAATGCATAAACATCCGCAGTCTACTTATAAGGAACCTGTGAAATTTTATTCGTGTAATTGTCATTTACCATTATTTCAATATTTTTCTGTTCGAACAATATGCATATTCACGGTATGCCCATATTAATGACAGACAAATAATTATATATCCTGTTCGTGTGTAGAAATATATTCTAAGCATAACATAAATTAAATAAGGTTTGGTGAGGATTGTCAAACGCATACAATGATTTTGTGTAATTCAATGATCAAGCATTAGAAAATTTACTTTATTTTGAGTTTTCTCCTGTACTGTAAGATAGACGAAAATTAGCATAAATTCGAGGATCAAGGTGGATAGAATGTGACAACATTTTATTTAAATACAACATGGTTGAACTAAAGTTTAATTTTCGTGATTATGAGAACGGATACTTGTGTCACCGCATTCGATTCTTTCGTCTCACCGATGAAATAGAATTTAATCACAATTATTTAAACAACTCGTCGATGCTCGAAGTCGTTCTTGAAATTAGAGGTCCAATAAAGATATCGATCGTTAAATTGGTACAATTTCGAGGGTCGAATGTGGAAACTGAGCTTCGACGAGCGTGATATGTATCCTAGATCGTTGGATTTATTAATGACATAAAAACAGATTTTCTTTTTTGGCATTATAGTCGGAGATCTTCTTCAGCTCCAGCAGGCCGTCCTCCATGGAGATTTTCTTCGCGACCACCTGATGAACGATATTCCTGACGTCTTGGGTGTCGTTCGTTTGCAGCTGATTGACCAAACCGAGCTCGTACCACATTTTTATGAAAAATGTACTGCAACCAGCGTTATATTTGCCGAACTCGCCGCTCTTCCAATCCCACGGCATCAGGTAATGATACGCCGGCCAGCAACTCTTCGCGAAGAAGAAGATGCTGATGTTTTTCGGAATTCTGAAATTATTGGTAAGCAGATCATTGTTATTTAGTTTCATTCTTATCTTCTGATCGAAAAACGTTATTTCAATGTTAATAAAATCTCGACGATCTTTGGTCGTTCCTGGGTCGATTTAAACAGGTCATTCCGTGTAATGTGCACGAGGCCGCTGCCATAGTTCTGCCGACGTGTTGTAAGAATCTCACGGTTCTGCTATATTGTTTGACGTTTCGAATGTGGGACTCTTTTTATGGAATTAAGTGATTTGCAAACAGCCAATGATCAGCGATTTTGTGACAATCGAATAATTCATGCAGAAAATGGCCGGTGTCCCTTATACATTCACGATCAGACCATTATCGTCGAGTATCGACATTAGGTTGTATCGGAATCGATAAATATTTCATACGCTAGTCACTGTATATCTAATTTGCGATTTACATTATTTGGCGTGTATGCCGTCGTTGTCTATAACGACGGTGCCGTGGCTTTTCGGCATTTTGAAGAAAAGCCTGAACAGCAAAGAGATAGTATCGAAAATGGACATTAACTTGTTCCCTTCGTTGGACCAGATCACCATCGCGCTGTTTATCAGCCAGGACATGTTCACCGTTATCATGAATCGTAGTATACCGGCGATCAGTATGGTGAGTGGCATCGTTTCGTCCCAATATTCCAACGGCGCGTTCAATGGTAACAACAATCCAAATATTCCAAACAGCACCCAGTAAAATCTTTAAAAAACCAACGAAAGACGAATCTATTATGTCATCTTCGATTTCACAGAGTTAAATAATAGTTGAGGGACTCGAGGTAACCAGGAACCTTTAGCCTTAAATTTCAAGGAAGAAAAGCTTACTTCTTTTGTATCCAAACGTTTAAATCTTGCTCCATATCGCGCATGTCGATGTCAAGTCTGGCCTGTTCGTAAGAGACAGTCGGGGACAGACAGTTGCTCATGTAATGACTGTACAAGAATCCTTTGCTGTGATTATAGGGGTCCTTGTCGGTTCCATAATACTTATGATGAAGCCTATGGTACAGTACCCAGTCGTATATCGGACCCTGTAAGACAGATATTTTAGGATGGACACGATCAGAGTTAGAGTGTAAATTTCTTACATTTTACAATATGCACTTATCGGTTTCTTGTGTCTAAAAGTATACATACCACTCCTGCGAGTGTGTGACCCAACATGAGCAACAGTCTGAGCGATCCTGCTGCCTGAAACGTCTTGTGTGCCCACAATCTGTGACACATGGTCACACTGAGGCAAGCCAGTGATGTTATGAACACCGCTAAAAATTACACGATTAACGATAGCTGTTATTATTTTTTATAACATCGAAATAAGCAGATGGGACAGTGGTTGGGTTAATTTTGTTCCATATAAGGACGCGATAGATTCTAACTGTTAATCCCTTGGCTTATTAATTAAATAGTTCGAATTTTATAAATTAAATTCAATGCCTGATTATTGCAAGCCACGGGGTTAACGCGATCATTTCACAACCGTACATTACCAAAGAAAATATTAAATTGCCTTTGGAATCGCGCTTGGAAAAGATCTTGGGTTCTCCTTGTTAGTGAGGGTTTCTTAGGACTAAACTCGAACGAAACCATTTCGTGACGATTTCGTCGTCTCGTTCGGAACAAAATTGCAATGTTTCTTACTGAAGAACACAGTCATCCATTTGGCGGAGGTGAAGAGCAGCCAGATGGCATAGATACCGAGGACGTGTAAATGAATGTACCACAGTACGGCCGCCCATTTGATCTCCTGTTTCTTCGGGGGTTTCGTCGCCTCGATCGACATCCTGTTGTCGCAAGTAAAAAACAAAGTTAGGCCTGGATGGTAGACCGAGGGTAGAAACTCGACGGAACTCGATTTTCCACTCACTCGCCGAAAAAATTTAAATGCCTTTCACAGAGAACACTTCGACGGAGAAAATAGTTTTATCGGTTGGATAAAATTACAAAGTGGAAGCCTCTGGAAAGTCGCTCGAAACGAGTTCCCCTTGTCCCGGGCAGGAAAATGGCGTAACCGATGGACGAAACGACGCGGCTGAAAGTTCGGTGCACCTCGGGCAGCCGTGCATCGAGGTTTACCTGACCCTCCGTAGTGAGACACGCGTTTCCAGAGGTTCCAAGAGAAACTGCCAGGACGGATGACCAGTGTGGAACCTTCTTGATCGACCTCGTGACCTCTGCTCGAATTTCATTATCGTCCAACATTTTACACCGTCATTTCCTTTGTTTTGGCATCGCTCGACGGAACGCGTTCGAATCGAATTTTCTTTAGAGCCGAGATTTCACGTCGACGCGTGGAAGACCACGGTACTTTAACCCTTACGATCATACTTAACGATCATACTATTAAAAAACAAAATCTATATCATTATTCACATCGATACAAGGGTTAATTTAGGAATAAAAACTATTTATATAGATAAAATGAAGTATTTATTTTTAAAAAATACATTTCTTTCTTAGTTCTTTGTAATACTTAAAGGACTTTTTGCATAAGTCTTCAGGACCTGGTCATCGATGGGTATATGAATAACAAATTCTAGATTCATTCGTAAACTGACTTTTACCCGCGATTTCGTTCTTCTGGAAGACAATTTAAATAATTCGTTAATGAATTCTAATTTACGAATGACATTTAAACGGATGTCAAATTACAGGAAGGCTAAGGTTGTTTACGCGAACCATAAATGTTCACGCACCAACGTAGTGTTAGGTAGCAGAGTTACAATATGGCGTACTAGCTTCGCCTTCGACGCGATGCTAAATCCTCTCACACATCGACGAACTTTATGTTCCGTTTCATTATGTCTATGAACTCGCGTTACCTGTTACATATACAGTGTGTAACAAATCTATTGGCACACTCGCTTTTATTTAATGCTACCCCAATCCCTGAAAGTTAATCCGATAGAAAATCAAATACTTTGTATCGGTATATTATTCGAATACGCAAAAATATATTTTGAAGCAAAACGAGTGTACCAACACTTTTTTTACTCACTGTAGATTCAATGTATCGTGGCTAAATATAGGTGACTTTAAATTTGGATACATTGAAACGTATGCATCTATTTAAAGTTGCTTACGCAAGCTACAGAAAAACAACGCTATAAAAATCATCGTCACTGAACTTTTCTTAGACAGTATGCATCGCGCTATTGAGGCGGGTTATAGTATTATTAGTATAATATAAATATTATGCACCAAGTAGATTGTGTGTTGTGGAACAAATTTTTCGGTGAAAAAAAAATTTCAAATCATTCTGGAAAAATTATTTTCGGTCGCAGGGGTCAATTACAATCATTTTTGGTGGATAGACATACCCTCGAATTCCTAACCATTTTCGAGAAAAAAATTCAAGAAGGTGGGAAGATTTGTCGTCGAAATTGGAAAGTTTCAAATCATTCTGGAAAAATTATTTTCGGTTGCAGGGGTCAATTACAATTATTTTTGGTGGATAGACATACCCTCGAATTCCTAACCATTTTCGAGAAAAAAATTCAAGAAGGTGGAAAAATTTCTCTTCGAAATTGGAAAGTTTCAAATCATTCTGGAAAAATTATATTCGGTCGCAGGGGTCAATTACAATCATTTTTGGTGAATATACATACCCTCGAATTCGTAACCATTTTCGAGAGAAAAATTCAAGAAGGTGGGAAGATTTGTCGTCGAAATTGGAAAGTTTCAAATCATTCTGGAAAAATTATTTTCGGTCGCAGGGGTCAATTACAATTATTTTTGGTGAATAGACATACCCTCGAATTCCTACGCACTTTCGAGAAAAAAATTTCTAAATGAAAATATAATTTATGGCCAGGAATGTTGTCCGAAAATTTCATGCGATTCTTTAAAACGTCATAACTTCTGAACGGATTGGAGGATTTTAAAGTTTCAGAATGCAAATAACGCGTATTTTGCTGTTGAATATGTAGAAATTCTAAAAATATTCGAAAACTTGTTCCTTACCTTGTGTAGCTATCGAAAAATCGGTTTTCATCGGTCGATAAAAATCGAACTTTTTTTTTTACTGGCGTAGCTAGATGGCGTCGCGACCATGTATGCTTGCAACAACAATAGAGAAGTGATACGATTAGTTCAAAACTATATTTTAAAGAAGCAACATCTCTGGGAATCCAATATATATTTCTATTTTCCAATTTAAAACATAAAATAGAATGTTTTATTTTAAAAGTCTAAAGCATAAAATACAATACTTTTCCTTTGTTTTATGCGTTTAAAAGAGTTCTTGATTCAAAAATAAATTGCTACGGAGATAACTTTATTTACTTCCTTCTAAGTACAACTATTAATGTGTAATAAGTGCTCTTCTCAGGGAAAAATACTTCATCTTATGATTCGGGTGAAGAAACAAAGATATTTTACTTTTTGATTTATTAGAATAAAAGTATTTTATTACGGGCGATAAATTAAATAAATAAAATATTTTATACTACGACACAAATATTTCCAGTAACCTTGAAATAAAATACTATTTTAAAGTGGTGTGCTGCCGGATGAAATATTGTATTTAAGATAGTATTCTATCCAGCTCTGACCATACTGCCTATTTCGCGCGAAGTTCGAATTGAGACGGAATATATTTCAATCTCATATTCCTACGACAGTAACCCGACATATCGTTTTTTGGATTTCCCTGAGAATACAGTATTATGCAATAATTCGCAGAATAGTAATCAGCGACATATCTTTGTTCTTAAATCTATCGTACTCTGTAGCGTAATTTTACTCTCGCCCTCTTCTTTTAACATTTGTTTCGCGTTACAAATTACGCATAATTACCGGTGGTTGAAGAGGTTCCAAAAATAATTGTCTCGAACCGTTAAATAAAAGGTCGAAACTGTTACCTGAAGACCTTCACCTATACAATAACAGTTTTCAAGCTCCGATTACATTTGCGTAAATCTGCAAATTAATATCTATCCTACACGTATAAACATTATTTAATCGACCCGTTTTATGGGCATCATCGGGGTTTCGCTTACGATTATTCCCTTCGCCACGATTAAACATTTTCACAGAGCGTAAATATTGCGAATAAAATCTTTTACAGGCACACTTTCAACATTCGTATCTTCGATCATAATTATTACACTGCTCAGTTTTGATTTTTCGGCTAAAACGATGTTGCACACTGTTGTACACGCTAGGATTAGGTCTTTGAACTGATTCAGATCCCTGATAATAACGTGTCAGAAACTCGCGTACCGATTTTCGATAACGGATATTCGTCGCGAACACTTCTCGATCGTTCGAAATCTAAAACGATGCTCCAGTATTTGTTCACGAACGATGAAGAGGCGTTACTGTTTCTTTCTGTCCATCAGTTTCAGTTCTTGGAGATCCTCGGTCGGGATGTCGGTGTCGCCGTAACCCCAGACGTGGGTGCCGTCGCCAGATCGGTTTGCTCTTCGTCGAACCATCGTCGGGGACACGTATTTGCGATCGTACGCCCAACCGATGCACGCGAAAGCATCGATGAAACCGGTGGTCAGGTTGAACGTGTAGTTCCCTAATTCGCCGGTCTTGTAGTCCCACGGGAACACGTGGTGGAAATTATGCCAGCCCTCGCCGAGGGCCACGATGGAAACCGCCAGATTTTCCACCGGGGAAATGTACCTGGAATTTAATCGATCAGTTTGTAATAATCATCGGAGTCGAAGATTCGAACAGCGGTTTCAGTGTTTCGAGAACTTACTTGTCGTATGGTCGTTGACCCCACATATGGGCGATGCTGTTTACGAAAAATGCCATGTTGAGGGTCACGCAGAACCGGAAATTGAAATTCACCCAGAAGGATGTCCATATGGATTCCGACCAAAAGTACCAAGGCACGCCGACCGGAAGCGCGATGGTCAGACAAATGAATAGCGGAATGTAGTATCTACGAAAGAAACGAGTGTCGAGTTCCATTCGAGTTTTCTACGCGTGAACTTCCGGCTGAGGGAATGCATAAAATCGCGGTTAGGAATCGGGTGTATTATATTGCCTTCCCCTGCGTCGTATTTTGGGCAAGGTAACAGGAAGTGGGCCATCCAAGATTCCATTCTCTCGATCGGTTATACCCTTCATACATTTTTACCGACGTCTAGTGTATAAATAGTTATTAACATAGGCAATGATCGTTGATCGTCCTCGACTGATTTTTTATTTGGCATTAACTTTTTACAAATTGATTCTTCCAACAGTCGAATAATTATATTTAAATTGAATTCACGTTTGGAAGTAGCATTACCCGGTTTTGCATATCCCGGAAGTCGACGCGATATATCGAACATCGAAGTACTTTTGAAACATGTATCAGTGTTGTCCAAATAATTTTGCTTCTGTTTTATAGTACAAAATTCCATTTCTGCTAGATAAATAGCACGATTGTAATTATAGATAAGTCGAAGATAAAGTCCCAAATATTATCACACTATTAAAGTAATCGATACGAACAATTAGATATCTACGGTCACGAAAGCTGGTCCAATCCAAAGTCTAAATAAAACTTCTCATTCTCAGATTTCAATCTGACAATTTTAGACACGAAAGACCAACAACTACAGGTTTTCTAAATCATGGAGTATTAGAGAATTGACAAGTGTTAATACCACAGCTGCGAATTACTCACCAAAACGTTAAGTTAATACTGTACGCGATAAAGTCTATTAGATCGTGTGATAAAAGCGATATTGACGTTACAACGAATTAAAAGTGAGTTGCGTGTTGAATAATATCCGACATTCTAAATTGGAATTGTATAATACTTGTCTCTGCTTAAAAGAACTCTTGAAACTTGCAATGAAATAGAGAAACTGAACAAAATCACCGATATAAATCCTCGCTTCGAACCGCAAATTTACTGATTTTCGATTTATAGTTTATCGTTTTACCTTTTCTGCCACATGACGATCGGATCGGCCTCCAGGTCGCTCATATCGACGGCCTTTCGCTTCAGGACGACGTCGGGGTGAGGGGTGGTGAAAAGCCAGCCCACGTGGGCGAAAAAGAAACCCCTTTTCGCGTTGTGTGGATCGGCGTCGGTTTCGCTATACTTGTGATGTACCCTGTGATCCAGCGCCCACGCGTACACGTGTCTCTGTACAGGAAACACGTTTGTCGATCGTCTGAAAGTTCGGCTATTTTTGTCAGACGCGGAAGAAGTTGGGCCAAAAGTATTTTTATCGCGCCGGATCCGTGAACTTGGACGGGAGGAAATCTCGAATCATACGCGTTACTTTTCTTTCGACAACTTTACGTACCATGTTCAAATTATTTTAGAGATATAGTACATAGGTATCAATAACTGTAAAATATATTTCGGCCAATAAAATGGAAGATGCAAGAAATTAAGTAGGGAGGTACAAACTTGTCCGCTTATGGTGAACAGGAAAATCAGAAGCACTCGTAGCGGCCATTTCGCTTTGTACGCCCTGTGAGACCATAACCTGTGCGCTCCGGCGGTTATGCCAAACGCGGAAATGTATATTGTCGCGAACGCTGCAACAGAAATTAAACGGACAATATTTTTATATTAATTTTGATATTATCTTATGTATTTTAAGTATACGTACGATGAACGAAATAGATGATATAATTCAAAAATTTTTATTTTCTGATATCATCTGCGTATTACAATGACAATGTTCTATTCGATATACGCAAAGAGCATTCTATCGAATAAATTAGTACGGAAATGATACTTTGAACCATCGCTATTATAGCGTTTTGAATGGAAATTGCATCGCGTATGCAAAACGATAAGTCTCACGCACTTTGTCCGGTGAAATTGTTATTGAGATTAGTTTATTAGATTAGTTTCTCGTTATGCGTAGACCCCGCAAATAAAATAATTCATGAGGGCAGAAATTACGTTTAAATCAGTCTATTGATTATTGATCACGTCAATTTCCCTATATTGTGCCACACGTAGACCAAAACGGTTTCATAAATTAATAACAATCGCGCAGGAAATGCCTACCAGCGATTTGAGTCACCGGAATGTATTTTTACAACAGATATATCGCAGTGCTTCGATAAGAAATCTAACTTCCGTCGTTCGCGAGGAAATAGTTTTTTAAAACATGCTATATTATATAATTTCAGAGACGAAATACCACCATTAAAATAACCTATCGATCTCATACGATATAAGTAGGTTTGAATTAAATCCTGCAAAAACGTATAGCAAAATTATTCTTTTTTTTATACAATGAACAGTGGGAATTAATTAACACAGACGATCCTAGATTACTTCCACCTTACTAAATGAACTCCTTAATGCTATTCGTTGTTTTTTAAATTCTGAATTGCGGATGGTTACACAACGTCCTATAAATAGTTTACGATTTTCCTATATCATTCTGTTGAGCCAATAACAAGAACACTCACCGTCGAGACTGACTGTTACGGACACTGGGCGAAATTAGTCCAGTCACGAATTGTGAAGGCACAGTGTCAGAAGTTACCAATTAAACGCAACATCCAACATTGAAATTGTACGACACGAAATTCACTGATACAAGATAGGAATTTATTTGTTTCCCGAATCTTTAACTCGAGTTCTTGTTTTTGATAGAACTTTTTCTTGTCTTGTTATCGTTGTTCTTACTATTTCAATTTCTATTTGTTTTAAACAAAAGTTGACTAGCTTTCGATTGGCTAAAAATTAGTCGAAGGGTTAATTCGAAGGTAAACTCACCCCACAATGCGGTGAGGAGTTGTGCTTCGGTGAAAATGAGGTAGAATCCGTAAACGCTGCCGGCGTGGATGAAAATTTGCGCGATCAGGTCCGGCCATCTGATACGAGATACGTATGTCGCTTTGCTGCTGTAATAACTTTGATCAGCGGTCAAAAAATCGTCGGTTTCCGATAGTCTACGATTCTTCGAGTCGATTTCCTGGTCCTTCGTCTCCAAAACTTGATGCACCGTGGCTGGTACGCGCTCCTTGCGCGGCGACATCTTTCTACTTCGATCCTATCTTCAGGGAAACCGATACAGACTCCAGCATCGGTCTTCGCGTCACGCGATGTAGCTTCTTCTGGATCGCGGTGATCTTATCGACTCTGAAATCACAACGTTGTTTATCCTCGACTAAAAGCTACGATCGTTTTAGCGTTCGAGGAATTAAGAACACCAAAATACCCTGCATATTAGTTTCGCGATTTTCTTACGCTTACAAGTTTTGTTGTTTCGCGAGTTTAGACAATGGCGAGTCATCTTGGAGCAACGGACCGCCGAAGATACATTTTTTATTTCGCTGCGCGGCTCGAAAGGCTAAAGGGGACTGAACGAGCCTAAAACGGCCAAATGTTAGAGAATACGCTCTATCGATCGTAGATATTGTCACCCGCGGTATCGCCGTGGACGTTGATAAAGATATTTATTTTCAGATATTCTTTGGTACGAATGATTGGCAACGATGTTCTCATAGACCACGATGATACCGGGTTACAACGTTCGTAGGAAAAATTTGCGAGCAGTTCCTTTAACGCCGCCGGAGTAGTGATAAGAATGATAATTCCTATTTGATTGAGAATGTTATTACATATATCATACTGTGAAGTAATGAATAGAAGATTATCAAATAGTAATATAGAATATATCAGAAACTGTCTTGTTTCGATAAGAAACCTCTGGTTATCTTGCTCCTTTTAACCGACAACGTATATATTTTACTTAGTAGAATTATTGTTGATCAATACACGAGTTCAACGACCCACGATACTATAACCTTCAGATGACCTTAGTCTTAGATACGTGGAGAATGATTTTATTTCCGAGACCAAGGTTACCCGAAGGTCATAGGTCATTGAGATGATCTCTTCACCGCCCTCCTCTTTCTCAGCGGATTTTTCAGCTGTACGGGGAAAAATCGCTTCCGTGACTTTTACGACGAGCAGATTATTTCGTTCCGAAACATTACGTTCAAGGTCAGGTCGTTAGCTCCCTCAATGCTCCCTGGCTGTCACTGATAAAGATGATATTTATTTAAGACGGTTCGTAGCAGTCGCAAACCCAAAAGATAGGAATGATCAACGGCAAGCCCACAAGTATGACGTTATCGCTCGTCACACGTTTAACAACTAATTTAATGACAGCCTGCGCGTTGACTACCAAGTACACTATTTTTAATTTAAACCTTGTTAATATTCTAACAAGAACCAATCCAACAAACTACTAACATCAATGCAAGTTACGTTTACTATCGGAGGTCTTTTCAAACTCGTGATACTTTCAGCACTTCCAGAAAGACTGGATTATCTTTTGTAGCCCTCGCTTTATTTAATTTCAAACTTTTATCGCTTTTGTTGGAAAACATTCTTCTCTTATCGTTACGTAGATCGAACAAATGCAACAGGTGTTCGCTCTGTGATTTCTTGGAAATGATAATCTCAAAACTTACGAGCGATCGAAGAATGACGCATAGAGAGATAAACATTGAATTGGAGATAGACTTGATTAACGTAGGTAAATTTTTTGTTAAAATATTCCTGAATTTTTTAAACGAACGATTGTTTTCTAGGCTCGAAGAATCGTTAAAATGTAGTTCAACGTCCATAGCGTTTATAATAACAGCAGTGTACTGTCTATATACGTAATTACGTCAGTAGCATAACACTGTCGTGTAAAGTAACGTGATAGCGATAAGAGTTTCATCAATACAGAATACAATGTATTATATAATGAATTATACATTGGCACGTACGCACATAATCAACCGGATCAATCATAGATTAAGAAGATTCCAGTCTGGCACTTTGGAATTCTCAATTTTGTTTGTTTTTCTTTTTCTTGTAACATGGAATTATAAAAATATATTTTCGAAATTAACACTAAATTTACATACGTTGGTTGCACAAATTTTTATTAGATATAAAAAGGAGAAAAAATTAATCTTATTCATATTCTCCCCTCATTGCAAAGCCAATGTTTTACACATCTTGGAATAAATTTATGCACCCTCGTCCAGAGGCGTACACAATTTTCGATGTTTCTTGTGTTTTTACGGAATATCGAGCCGTGAAACGAGGGTAAAATTTGTGTTCCGACGATTTAATTACCCGAACAGCAACGGGTGGCTAGAAAGTTAACGAAAAGTAATTATGTTATCCGTGAGGATTTTGTTAACGGTTCTCAATCGACGTCCCGGCGCGCGTCTGGTCTAGACGTCGTTGAATAAAGAAATGGCTAATTAAAACGTGGATGACGGTGGTCAACGGCGGGTTGACGCAACGATACGCGAGGCACAAAAAATAATCTGGCACAGACGCGTAGGTGCGATCGTAATTAGCGTGGACAGCATCCCACGGTGATTGTAATCGAGGGAAAATACCAATACGACGCCCAGGCAGTCGTGGTAATTGAAAATATAGTTAGAAAAAAAAAATTAAACAAAAAATACACGTGGTGTTTGAGAGCTCGATGAATCATGAATCATGAATCATGAATCATAGCGTTTGGGAAGAACTATCGTTTACTAGGGACGGCGCAAGCATGGAAAAATCCATTTTAAAATAGGATCAGATGAAAGCTTTTCTTCTTTTTTTTACAGTTTAATTTTACCAGCGATTATATTAATACTGTTTACGTATGTATGTATGCCGGATTAAACATTTGGCCGGCATTTACAAGCAATAAATCTATTAGCAAATGCGGAGCCCACCTGCGGACAGTCGCGTTAAAAAATATATGACTGGCAATCGCAGGGTTAATAGGAATTTATTGTTAGGAATTTATAGTTCACGGTCGAATTGCTCTTCCTTCTGATAGCCCTTGTTTACGAGATCTTCTGACCGTTTCTTGATTAAAGTCGACGCAAAGCAATCGATTGGCGCCAGCGAAATCGGGGGGATCGCTCGTAAACGTGGATCGTTCCTACAGAATTTTCTTTCTTTCCGAAGAAAAAATCTTATGAATCAATTCAATCGCAAAATTGGAATGTATACTTTTTCTGACCACGGTAAATGCTCGTCCAAATGTAAAGTAACCCGTGTTCTAATATTGAAAGAAATTTTACTCGTCAAAAGTTTTACATTGCAATGTAGAATAATAAAGATGATGTTTGCGCGCGTGACTAATTTACCCCCACGCGATCTACGGCAGCCAGGGCTCCGAAAGTGTTCAAAAGTTGGTACGTTCTGCGCGAAACGTGCAAATCATCGTAGCAATTTAAACGTGAAAAGTTTGTTATCCGGTTGCGAGGAAATTGAGCACAACACGAGTTCCGCGGAGCGAGCTAACACATCGGTGTATATTGACGAATCCCTATAAATAATTGTATTCGTCACTAGACCAAGGCCGAGTGTAGCACGGACCGCGTGCGATTCCTTGGAGCATCTAACCGTTTAACGAGGCCGCGTAGACGGTTACACGTGTCGTGAAAAATCGAGTGGCACGGCGGTTCGGGGTCATTCATCGGGAGGGTCATTGAAAAATGTTCTGGACGTACCTGTAGCGCGCAGAGCACACGCGCGAACCGGAAGAGAAACGATGCGAGCTACACTCGTGCACACGATTGCATTCAGGAGCGCGTGGCGACGTGCACAGAACCGCTGTAAAACTGAATCAAAGATCCCGATTCACCTCCGTGGCGGAGAGCTTATTCAAACGTATCGCTCTTGTGTTTATCTTTCACGCTAATCGCAAAATTGTCCTCTTATCAGATACACTCATTTTTACCTTTCGTTTCTCCGAATGTTTCAAGAACATTGCCTCGGGGGAGACGTCGAAAATAGTTCAAAGATTAATTATTATGCTGTCGATCTCGTTATGCGAGCCGATAAGCTTTCGAGAATCTCACGGTAACGGTTGTACCAGTCACTGTTCGCGATGTCGTCATCGATGTGCCGATAGAAATCGACGGCGAATCAGGCGTTTCACCGCCACCTGCACAAACTTTCCTCTAATCTCGCGGTTTTCTCGAAAATGTCACGCAGTGTTCACGCTCCGCTTGTGTCTGAGAACCGATTTCGTAACCTCCGAACTCCCTATTTCCGGAAGAATCTTTGCGTGTTTCGTGCTTCGTTCCACGCGCCGCGTAGAATAAATACTGCTCCTCGCGATGACTAGAGGACCTCGAGTTATAAAACTCCTCTTGTGCTCTCTGCGCGGACTCGCGCCGCACGAGCCACGCCGAAAGATCACGGATTGTCACGAAGCTACCATAGATCTCATAGTTTCTCATAAATAGTCACCGCCATATACTCGCGTCCAGCTCATATTTTCGTTTCTGAACCGTCCACGTTGACCCGGGAATTTCAAAAACTTCTACGATATTTATTTTGAATTACTCTGCTTGAAACGGACATGTTTATTTAGGTATACAGTGATAGCAGTGACATAAGTCGAAACATTTTTATAATATCGCTTTGAATCTAATTCAAGTAATTCGGCCTTGCGCCACCGACTTTTTCATACTAAAACTGAATTGCGATAATATTTATCGTTTCACGTGACTTTCATGGTATCGCAAATATTTTGTTATCAGAATTTCGTTCTACGTTCGAAGTTTTACGGAGACTAGGCTAATCATACATACTATTCGATATTTAGTAATCCTATAAAAAGATATGGAACCATGCATGTCGTAATTTGTTTAATACAGATAAATAATCGTGGTTTCGGTTACATGTTGACCCAAGAAACGTATACTGAATTCTTTCGATAAGGATTTCGTGTTATGACTAGGTAGTTGATTCATACTCCCGGCACGGTGACACAACAGCATTATATAATAAGTTGAAAAATTCTTAATGAATCCCGTGTTGTTTAGAACTAGAAACCGAACGACTTAGCTGCAGCGTTGAATATTCCTGAAATATAGAATGTATGGAGAACTCGAATCGTTTGTCATGGTTTCTCTGCTGCTCGATGCGGCTCAATGACAACAATAATTATTACATTCCAACGTTACATAAGTATCAGCCTTCTTTCTTGGCGTCTAGAGTTTACTTGAACCTTCTGTTTTATGCTCGCGGACCAAGGTTTAACTGTACTTGGTTGGAATTAATTTCATTCCCAGCGCGATAAAACTGGCGTGCTTTTATATTTTTATTACGCGTTTTCGAACTGCCCCACGAACCGATTATTATCCTTAACGGCATTCCGTCGCCCTAAATTACGAGTTCGATCGCGGCATGTGCCGTGAATAAACGTTGTAAAATTTTCCGTAAGAGTCGAAGGAACGGCAGGATACGATTACGCAATCAGGCTTGCACGCGACTGCTTCGTGACGTTGGTCATTCAACTTTTACGCGAGATGAATATCGAACGTTACGAATCAGTCTGTCATACTATGATCTCGAATACCGTTTCCAGTTCATCGATAGTATCGAGCACTCTATTCAGAAACTCTGCACCCTCCAACGGAGAACTATCTTACGAGTGCTCGTTGAAGTATATTTTTCTCTTATTAATTTCAATCTATCTCTCTCATTTTAGGCGCGGTAATTCCATTTTTTTTAGCTTTAGACTGTTCGTCTTCTCCCTCGAAACAATCGTGTCGAGTTCGTCGCAGGAATTCGCCGCGTTTGCGATGAAACTAGAACCATCCGGTTGCTGGCGTCTTCTAACACGGTACACTATAATGGTAATTCGCTACGAACGAAAAATTTCTTACGAATCGAGAAGTTGTTTTTTAAACTTGTACAAATCTACTTTTTCGTACACTGAGATATTTATTCGTGGACACGAATCTGAGTATTTGAACAAATGCCTGTCGCTAATAGAAACGACGTAAGTGCGAAACTCCATAAATCGAACGAACATAAGTATGGTTGTTTGCATTCGTAGACACCTTGGCGACGGCCTTGACCGTGATATATGTTGTAAATAAGGGGTTAGCGATTAACCGTTCCAAATGAACCGAGCTAACTCTGCTGGTGCGAAGACTTCTCGAATGTCGTCACGGTGTACCAGGTATGGCGTAAAACAGAAAAATAAACACAGTTGACTCTGAGTTTAATGTGCTAAAGACGACGAGCAAGGACGGTCGATGTTTTGCCAGAGTCAGACTCGATGCAAAGATGACAGTCGACAGCCAACATGGAGTACCGCGGTCGTTAAAATCAGGAAGAAATGGACATCGCACGAAGAAGCATGACTGTTTAAAAAATTAGAATTTCGCGCCGATTAAGTACTAAAATCATGGGGGGCTGATTCGTGACGCCCTCTGTATATAATATTTACTCGTAACGTTTATCGAAAGTCCTGTCCTATATTATGTATTAATAAACAGCGCGTTTTCACGCCATATTAAGCGGCTGCTTTGATGCCTACAAAAGTTACAAAAATTTACATTGTCATAACCCGATGTCTCCCAGTGTCGTGGTATTATAATGTGTGGGAAGGTTACGCAGTCGCGTGATAATGATAACAAATGTCACGATGCAGCTTAATGCACTTGTTAAAAGCAATAAAATCAGGTGTAACATACGTAGTTCGAGGAGAAAGGATTTTCGTCGGTGGGTGTCCCGAGGGATGGGGTCGTTCGGGGAAGTTTCGAGGCCGTGGGACCAGAAACGGGCCCGAAGTTCTCGAAAACGACGACGGAAAATCACACAAAATCACACTAATTGAAATAAGGTGGCGCGTGCGGCGACCAATGAGGCGAGCGGAAGGAGAAGACGACCGGCGACAAAAGAACAGGCCCGCGGCCCTCTGCCTTCGTCTTACAACGACGATTGACAAGGTAAGTGCTCTTCTTACGACTCCCTTACGGTAATTTGCGCGAGAACGGGTCTCTGGTGCTGTTCCTGCGGCCGATAAAACCGAACGGGGAGGAAATTTCAGTGCGTTTAACCGAAGTGAACAATAAAAAAAAGCTCGAGCATCTGCATCGTGTGCGCCGCAGTGAACACTCTGAACTTAGAGGTGCGTGATCCATGAATTCTTATACTTGAAAATATTAGTAGCGAAACGTGGTCCTCGATATGGCTTGCAATCTTTACTGCTAGAATCAGTGCAATTCGTATAAATGTTTAATATAAATGGGAAAGACTTTTTAGACAATTTTGCTATAGAATACCCCTTAATGCGGGGGAAAAAGAAGCTTTAAGGGAAGCAATGGGGGTGGTTTTGTTTTCCTGTTCTCGTACCCGTTTTAATTCAAAAGCCGTGCATAACAGTTACTTTGGTAATCGTTTAAAAAATGAGACGAGCAACGAGCCGAAGAATTACAGAAATCTCGTCTACCAACGGAAATCAGCGCTGCTTCTGCTCTGGGGCAGCACCAGACGGTTCGATCCCATCTCCCATAGACATCCGTTGAAATTTACCCTATCAGAGACATCGAAGACTATCGCCCTTTCGAAAAGAATCGTCGAGTCTCCTGCGGTTCGAGTCCTCCCCCGTTGATCTGATTTAATTTTCCCGTTTTATCGAAGCACGCGTTAACCCCTTGGTTTCCGGCATCCCCAATATGGCGATAGTGGCGCCACGGATCGATCGAACAACCCTACGAGCCCGGTACGCAGAGTGTCTTTAGAATTTCCTAAATATCCCTGGCGGTCTTCTCGATTTCGCGATGGCGGCGCGCATGCACCAGCGGAGGCTGGTGTCGGGGGTGCGATAAACCGAAGATCCCCGGGGAAGAGAGAGAAAGAGAGAAAGAGAAGGGGTGAGTTTTGCCCGTGCAGAGAACCGCAGTCCAGGCAGGGGTGGTTCGATGGCTGCCGCAACCCCGGCACCGGTGCGGCCAGCCCCGCTTTTTTTCGTTTCCCATTCGCCTTCTCGACTCGAATTCCGACCGGGCGAACCGCGAGCCGACCATTTACCAGAGATCTCATCGGTCGACGAGTGAAAGTTGGTACGCTTGTGAATCTGGGATACCCATCAGCAATGTCGTTTCGCGGCGCGTCGAGATCAGGCCGTGATTACTGGACGTTCGATCGTTTTTAATTGCCATCGCGCGACTCGATCGTTATTTCATTTCGACGCGATGTGCTTCCGACACGCGACGGTTCTCGAACCCATCGTTCGTTCACGTTGAAACTGGACACAAAGCCAACGAACGTACGCGATAAAAGATCGTTGGAGAAAGGCGTGACTTTTACCCGCGTCGGCGATGTTCTCGATGCTGAAAAATCGCGAAAGTCTCAGGCGCGAAGCTTAGAGGCGTCCAGATCGAACGTCCATTTCGATGAAATGATTTTGTCAAGCGTACGACATTATTATGGGTACCGCTAATAGTATCGCCGAACGCGAGAGAAATAGTGCACGCATTAACAGGTACTGGGGACCGTAATTATGGTTTCGGATAGAAAATGCCCTGTCAGTAGACGATCAGCTCTCGCTCTATCTCTCTTTTGCATTCTTTATAGTTTTTCTGTTACACTTGGTCCGTAGCTTCGATCGTAAGGTTATTGAAACAATCAAAAGCTTTCGAAAGGGCGAATCGTGTAATTTGATTAATTTAGAAGTTAGTTAAAAAACTGATCAAGTTACGTGGTTCACTCTTCATAATTAGTAGGGGTGGGGTAGATACTCAAGATTTCAAAGCTAATTCAATTTTCGAATCTGGAATACCCACCCGCCCCTAATATTTAGTTGTTAGTTTTAAAGAACATAAATCCATGTAACCTCTTCAGAGTAAAATTGTTTTGTTCAAAGTATAGAATTTGTTTGCGAATGCTTGCATATCGTAATATCAAAGCAACTTTAAAACTAAAAATTACATTTAAATGCCAGAAACCCTGAAGAGGTTAAGATCATTGAATCACACTCTCGTATATTTTGTTGAACACTGTATTTAGTAAAAATTTAGGAATTTACCAGCACGTACACTTAAGACTCTCATAATCGTTTGCTTCGTTGCTTTAACAAATTTTTCGAGAAGCTGTAGTTTGTCAGTAGTTTCGTTTACCTGACGCAAATCGAGTAAGACGTAAGTCGGGGTAAATAAAGTGCAAACTACACATGTAGACACACGTTTATTGCACATATATTCGTATACATATTAATATATTTTTAATAATATTGTTATATTATTCCAATTTTTTCTTTCGTCCGAAATTACAAATTTCTTCCTAAAAATTGAACGACGAACGCTTCCTTGGCCCATTGGACCGAACAACAGGTGTCGTTCCCCGTTATCGCGTATACGTCGTTGTTTAAGAAACGCGTAACAAAGTCCCCGCGAACGGAAGTCGTAGAAAACATTTACAGCCAAACTGTAAACCCACTTTCTAAAGTGGTACGGGCATTCACGATTTTATTTTCGATCTTTCCTCGATTCTTCTCGCAGATACGAGAGTCACGAAGAGGAGTGCTAGGTACCGTTTGGCAGCCAGAACCGCCTCCGGGCGTCGAGAGCCTGGTTTGTTCCGTTCTAAACGGAACCTCACCTTCGAGCAGAGTTCCTCGCTCCGTTTTTCATTTTATTCGACATCTCGAACCTTTCTCTTCTCTCTTTCGTTCCCGTCGGTCTGTCTCGTGTTCGTTGCTCGGTCCTCGAATAGATTTAACCGAGATTCGATCGCGGGAGAAAGTTTTACTCCCGTCTTCCTTTCTATCGGGTCACCCCTGGAAGTTTCCGCGGTTCTGAACCTCGTGTAAGCTCAAATTCTATCGGTTTTACACCCATACGCTAATTACTCGCAAGTGTACAATCGAAACTGTTTACTCTCATCTGTCAAACGACGTGACACTCGTTAAATTTCCTTTTTTTTTATATCGAGTATACGAAATAGTTTTTCTTGCTATCCGTCTGATCACGTTCGTGTAGCATGATTAGCGTTGTGGTTTGCGTTGCCAAAGTGCTAACTGCGTTTCCGAGAAGTCGATTAGAAGTGTGCCTCGGTACATCTGTCGTTCGGAACAATCTTTCCTGGCATTCGAAAACTCCGCGACTTTCGACTTTCTTTCCAACGGATCGTCGAGGCTATTAAAGCCACCCAAAAATCGTATCGCGAATAGCTCGCAAATAAAAGACCACCTAAACCGTTATTCACCTGTCGTTTCGATGAATGTTTGCTGTTTGCTCGTATTATTGACATTACTGCCAGCTGACCACTACCGTCGCGATCGAAGACTCAATTATATCGACCCATTAACCAAAAATCATATTCGACTACACTTTCGTGTTGCATTATATAATTATGGCCTAAATATTTAACGATAACTTTGAATCTTTGATACTTCGAAGTGGGTCAAGTGCACACTGAGCGACAGTAATTGCTTAGTTTTATTTCCGTGAGCGAGAAACGTATGTAACAGTCACTGTCACCTAAATATTAAAGGAGAAATTCAATCAATCACGATTCCTATTATTTTTTACGGTGCTTATACGATCTAAGCAAATCTTATTACTCTTCTAATCCAGCCCGTAATATTACTAAGAAATTAATAATAGCATGCCTGTGCTATCTTTTTGGCTGGGTGTGTGTATTACAATATATAGCAGACCCGAAAAAGTTAAATAAGTCCCTCTGAAAAAGTCAAGAAAGGGTATCTCAACCGGATAGTGCAACCTTGGCGTCGTCTAGCTTGCTAAAATTAAATATTGGTCGATGCATTGGATGTTTATCTATAACAAATGTTTGCCAGGGAGACATAGAGTCCTTCTACCCATTCGAGAATCGTTTCGGAGAAATCGCGATAATGATTTGTCGTTCCCTAAGGGGCGGAAACCGAAACGCCACGAAGCAATTAGAAACCGCGTCTTCGTGCCACTTCGAACTGCAAATGATCGATTCGAATCGACTATCGAGTCCCGCTTAATGCGACTTTTCTCTTCCTGATCCAATGTTCTTCCTTCTGGCTACCTTGATTTCTTTTACCCGTTGCGTCAATTATGGTTCCGATGTACATACGTTATCAAGTCAACAAAATTATTAGCTTATAACACGTTTTTCTTAATTTTCCTTAACTAGAAGCTATATCGATCAGGTGACGATCAACGTGTTAATGAATCATTTCTGTCGAACTACAGCTGATGGAAAGGTATTTCGGAACGCCATTGACGTTTCCTCAATTAAGACGCTAATTAGCCACGAAAGTGATCATCTCGTGGCGCTTAAATTCCATTTAAATACTGTTTCACGTTTTCCGCTTTGTTATTTAAAACACTTGGAACGTTTTATATTAACGCGTTCCATTTGCGAATTCACCGAGCAAACAAAGTTGTCCCCGTTGCAAAAAATTCATGTTAAAAAATTCAATTCTGTCGTATCATTGAACCAAATCTGTACTCCAATTGCATACGTTAGGAAATCGTTTTAAAAAGCACATTGGGAATCTTAAAATATCCGATTGCGTCTCTTTTGCGTACAACATGCAAATGCAGTTAGAAATGCTCGGGTCGCACAGAAACGACAATTACGTAAATTGGTATTGTTGCGAATTGAAACAATTCTTTCAAGTGAATCTCACGCCTAGTAGAAATGTATTCCGAAAATGTGTGCAACAAAGGAAATTACGAAACGCGTCGCGTCGCTCTTCATTACGAAAATTTATTCGATCACCTTGCAACGTAAATATTAAATTAGCCCTTAAATGGTGTCGTTCCCTATCGTAAATATAAATATCTCGTTTAGTGTTATAGTTTAGCACAGTATGAAAACTTTTGCCCTCGATTCTTCAAATTCCTCCTCTCGTGGCACGCAGAATTTTTGCTCATAAAAGTTTATATCTATGCTCCGAGGAACGCATTAAATCAACTCGAAGAAGAAACAGCCCCGAAATTAGGCCACCATAGAAGAAGCAAACGAAATTAGTCGAGCAACAACCTCCTAAGAAGTCTGTACTACCGTTAATAAGTATTAGAGCACCTATTTTGTATGGAATAATCCTGAAGTAACTGTAATTGTTCATTTTTATTTAACATTTTGTATTGCAAGGCGCTCACGAAGTGGACGAAACAATAGATCTATTTG